AAAAATGATACTCGGGTGAATAAAAAATTGAAGTTCAAAGTTGTTGAATTGAAAGAGGTTTATGTGTTGGAGGAAAACTAATTAAAATTTGTCTCACATAGAAAGTTTATAAAAGGCAAAGATTACTTTATATGTAATTACACTTTTGAAGAGTGTAATATTATGTAGCATATTATGTTTTGGTGGGGGGGGGGGGGGGGGGGGGGGGGGGGGGGGATTTTTTGCTGGAAAATTGTGGCAATCAACAAGCCAAAACCAAGAAAATGGAATTCCTTTTCCAAGTTCCATGGAAATCTTGACTTATCAAACACAACCTCAATACTTTAATAAAGATATCTCATTTTCCTTAATTTTGTAATCACATCCTATTTCTCTTCCCTTTTAGTTATTTTTTCTACTGTTAGGTCTTTGTTGACCACCCTTCATACCAGCGACCCGGAACTCCATATGGCGATACTTATGGTGCTTTTAGTGATAATCAGGTATATGCTCCACTCACATTATTTTAGAGTTGAACTTGAGGAGGAAATTGACATGTTATTGATTTATGATTTACATCAGCACATTCTGATCTTTCTTTGGTTGAACAGTTTCGGTTCAACTTGCTTTGCCATGCAGCCTGTGAAGCTCCCCTGGTGCTTCCATTGGGAGGGTTCACTTATGGAGAGAAGTGCATCTTTCTTGCAAATGATTGGCATGCTGCACTAGTTCCAGTGTATGTGAAATAAATTCGTCTAATTTGTAAACAATTCCTGCTTAGCTCTCTCCTGTGTAATAGCTTGCCTAAATCACACGCTTCGATGAATGAGCAAAGTAAGATTGTACTTTCACTGTCAATTCTGACAGACAACCTAACTCCTTACATGCATGATGCAATACATTCATAATTGAATTTGAATTACATGGTATTAGTCTCATTATTTTAATTCTCTTTTCTCCCCTTTATCTGCACATGTTTGAAGGAATTAGTCTTTCTATAGTTTGGTAAGAGACTGTCAATCTGTTAACCTTGAAATTCATGACTCATTTTGGTTTATCCTTTTAAAAAAAGAAAATCATATCTGGATTCTAAGGTAATCTCGTCAGCAAATGAACATTTTGGTTTGTCCTTCTTAAAAAAAAAAAAAAAATCATATCTGGATTCTAAGGTAATCTCACCAGCAAATGAACCTCACGGTGATTTATCTTTTTCTATTAACTGCATATTCTGGCTTAATTGGTCATGCTACTCACTATCTGGCGTAGTAGTAAATTCTTTATGCTGACAACCATAAGGAATGTTTAGATCTACAGACAGCAACATCCTGGAAATATCCTATGCTTTCTAACCAGCACACGGTTGTCAGCGTTCCTCTTTGTTTCTTATCTATTGTCTTGTTCTGTTGGTAAAATTAAATACAAGCATTGATCTGGACGTATTTCGTAATTTCAGACTCTTGGCCGCCAAGTATCGCCCATATGGTGTATATAAGGATGCTCGAAGTGCCATCGTCATACATAACCTTGCACATCAGGTAAATATTCATGTTCATATGCATGTTCTATTCATTTTATTTTGGGTCTGTGTGTTGGGGAAAGATGTAATGTGCTCAATATTGAATTAGAAATGGTAACTTTAGGACCTTTCTAACCATTTGGTTTTTGTAGCCATTACCTATCTATCCCTGTTGAGATAACCAAATATAAGTATTCCTCCTTAACTTGAAGTTAGACTCATGTCCATATGGATGAAATTAGCGTGAGATGGTGGCTAATGCTTTGTACCCTATATGTAATGCCTCTTAAAATTGCTCATCATTCTGCCACTATTTCTGATATAATGTAGATTTTGAGAAAGAGTAGTGATGGATGGTTTTCTTCTTCTTGTTTTTTTAATGTTGTAAGGGAGTGGAACCTGCAGCCACGTACAAGTATTTGGGATTGCCTCCTGAGTGGTACAGGGCGTTGGAGTGGGTATTTCCCACATGGGCAAGGACACATGCTCTTGATACTGGCGAAGCTGTTAATGTTTTGAAAGGTGCAATTGTTACTGCAGACAGGATAGTGACAGTTAGCCAGGTACTTTATGACAAATTTTGTGCTCGGCAAATATGTTTAATTGTATGGAAATAAAGGGTTCCTCTAGTTACAAGCAAGGATTATTAGCCATACAATTCAGCTGTTGCTTGATGTTTTAGAGAATGTTCAACTTTGGGGCTGTGGCTGCGCAAAGGAGTGCCAAATGAATTTGCTTATTCTTCATTCCTCATGTTTGCTTCTGCTGGTGGTGTTCCATCCCACACTTGAATGGGTGGGACGCACGTGCTTTAGTAACTCAAAAAGGACGAATGGAGAAAAGATGATAGCAGGATATTTTTTGCAGATTATGTGGAAATTATCAGAATGGAATAAATAAATAATTAAATTACCTCATTGTGTAATTAAATGGGCTCAGCATCTTCATTTTCTTATTTCCTTTTCTGATGGCAGGGTTACTCTTGGGAAATAACAACTCCTGAGGGTGGATACGGGTTACATGAGCTATTGAGTAGTCGAAAGGCATTTCTTAATGGTATGACTACTTTCTGTAATCTGGATTTGCAATAGATTGGAGCATCATATTATTTCAAATTTAGAACACTTGTAAATGTTGAGCTATGACACATTTAGTTTTTCTCTTCACATTCCTATTTTACTTCATGTTCTTGTAAGACTTACAGAATAAGCAGTGTACAACTGAGGCACCATTAGGACTCCCATATGTCATAGAAAATCTGGATTTACAATAGATTGGAGCATCATATTATTTCAAATTTAGAACACTCAAACCACATTGAGTAACGGCACATTTAGTTTCTCTTTTCACATTCCTATTTTACTTCTTCATGTTCTTGTAAGACTTACGGAATAAGCAATGTACGACTGAGGTGACATTAGGACTCTCGTACATCGTAGAAACCTGTATTTTATGTCCTTAGCTCAAATATAGTACCTGATTGTGCAGGAATCACCAATGGAATTGATGATAATGAATGGAACCCATCTTCGGATGAGCAAATTGCTTCACACTATTCTGTTCGTGATCTTTCTGGGAAGGTAGATAACTTCCATGTTCCTAACTACTTTTTTTTCGGCACCCTGGAAAGGAAAAATGGGCAAAATGTATCCATAAATTGTCTGCAACCTTGTAACTACCTGCTTTGCATCTGAATTTTATAATTATACAGGTTCGTAATGACAGAATAAATATCCTGGAAAGAAAATGGGCAAAATATATCCATGAATTTGACCTCAATCATCTGTGCACCTAGTTTCCAATTATTCTCATTTACTTATTGCTGCTAATCGGTACAGGTTGAATGCAAGATTGCATTGCAAAAGGAATTGGGTCTTCCAATACGACCAGAATGCCCTTTGGTGAGAGTGTATACTGACTTTGCTTTAACTAAATAGTATATGTTTGCTTTCTTCTGGAATTCTGGTAAAAAGCTTGGCGTTTCAGATTGGATTTATTGGGAGACTGGACTACCAGAAAGGTGTAGACATTATTCTTTCAGCAATTCCCGAACTTATGCAAGATGATGTCCAATTTGTAAGTCCTCTTTTCCTTTTCTTTGTGGATGCATTGTGTGTGAATGTGTCTGCTGTGTAAGTGGTTTTTTATGGGATTTCTTGTTGGATTTCATGGGGTTCTGCATGCCCAGCTCGACTCACTTTTTAACTGGATTATGTTATCTTCTCTTTAAGGTGATGCTTGGATCTGGGGAGATACAATATGAAGACTGGATGAGACACTTGGAATCAGTCTACAAAGAAAAATTTCGGGGTTGGGTTGGGTTTAACGTTCCCATTTCTCACAGGATAACAGCAGGGTAAACAAAGATTTAAAACCTGGAGTTCAATTGTTCCAGTTATATTTTTCCGGCAACGGCTTAATGATGCAAATAATTATGCAGCTGTGACATATTAGCAATGCCTTCAAGATTTGAGCCATGCGGTCTAAACCAGTTGTATGCAATGAGATATGGCACCATTCCCGTTGTTCACAGCACCGGGGGTCTTAGAGTGAGTTCACTTAACTAGATCTGGAATATGTTCTCGAATACATACAATAATGTACTAGTACATGGTTTACTATGGATCAGGACACTGTAAAAAAATTCAATCCGTATGCTGGGGAACAGAGTGATGAAGGTACAGGGTATGCGTCTTTCCTTGAGAATTTCCTTCTGATAATTCATTGTAGTGTTGACATGCATCCATTGCTAAACCTTGAGAAGCTGATGGCATTGTACCATTTAGATTTTTCCATTGATTAATAAACTCATAACATTCTCCTCTGTCTAGTTGCATTCTTGATCTCCATAACTAGATCATGATTACCCGATATGATCATTATTGCATCGGTTCAATTGAGTATAAGTTAACAATGTAAAGCCTGAAAGTCTGATGTGGCATTGGGAATTATCCTAAAGTCTTATGATGTGGATTTTGACATAATCTATGGTATAAAATGAAGCAACTTAAGCAGAGGCAAAGGCAGAATTTTAAGTTTGAAGGGCAAGCCAAAAAGAAGGTGATGTAATTATGTAAAAATGACTGATTTAGCAAATAGTA